TCTCTTTTTTTCTACTCTTTTTTTAGGTTATCTATAAAGCTTTATGAGCTATGATTGAATTCTGACTTAGAGCAATGATTGCCAAAAAGAAGAACTGACAAAGGATGCTAACATAGAAAAATAAGGATTCAGGATGAATACACAAAGATGGAGCTCAGTTCATGATGTTTTGAAGTCTGGGACAACCACTTTATGTGATTACAATCTACTTGAATGATTGCACAGGCTCAGCCTCCTTGTAAGTCATTCATTTGTTATTTCATTTTTTTAAATTTAATCTTCAGTACATTATTTTTCACGGAGTATAGAATACTATATTCTAAATACTACTCAGGTATGAGTATTGATAATACCTGTCGTGTCCTCAAGGGCAATTGTCATGGGTCAAGGTTGACTCACTCCTAAACATGAAGAAATAATATAGAACTTTTAATTATTCACTAGCAGACTCATTTTTGTATACAAATAGCAGACGTAACTATTGTTTTAAAGGAATATAGACATTAGCTAAAATAAATTTTTGAAAATGAGTATAAATAGCCTTAGTTCTTTGGATCCTTCTGTTTTTCTCTACAAAGTCAAATATCACTTGACAATGCCAACATGAAAAGAAGAGTCACTGGTTCCAGGCCAGCACAGGGAGATGCACTGGCATCATATGGGGCCAGTTCACTCCAAACCATACTTGTTGAGCACCAGCTGTGTGCCAGGCTCTATGCAAGGTGCTGAGGACCCAAAGAGGATATTGAAAGGACATTGTCCCTGAGGCACTCACAATCACTACAAGCAGATCTTGAGATGGAGAGGAAGTTCTGTTAAGATCTATAGTCCTAAAAGGAAGGAAAAATAGCAGCAAGCACATATAATCACTTTATACTCTATGAAATTGGGCATATTTAGAGGTGGTAAATGTCTAATATTCAGTCTATATTTTACTTAGAGTGTTTAATATGTTATACGAGGAAGCATAAGCTATTTCAATCTTTATGCATGAGGGAAAAGATAGTGAAAAATTTCCCCTCCAATTCCAATCCCAAATCCTTATAATTGCATTCATGATTCTTTTATAGCCCAAAGACACAAGGAGTAAAAGACAATGCTTTATGATGTTAACTTCAGTCCATTTATTTTGGCTCTAAAGAGATGCATGCATTAAACTTGAAGCATTCTATGTTATTGAAATATTTACATCATTGTACATGTGATGTGAAGGAAATTTTCTTTCTATCTTGGGATCGAGGTATAATAGGTTTCTTGTCTAGGTTCTTATATTTAAAATGAGTTGTGATTTGTCACAAATGAGGGAGATGTTCTGTTGGGATCAATTTACTACAGTTTGACCCCATATGATCTTAGGGAACAGTTTGGGATATTTTGCATCTAACTGTATTTTGAAAGGAATGAGGACACCACCACTGCAAATAATCATTGCTTTTACTATTTCAGTTCTGTAGCTGGAAATATCTTGTTTGGTTTCAATGTTCTTGCTCTAATTTCAACTTGCCCTGCAGGTTTGCAACACAGAAACATTATAGTTTAAATTACACTTATCAAAGGCGAGTTGGGTGCAAACAGTATGACAATAATACAATTTACCAGGTTAGAACAAAGAAACAAATTCAGATCATTATAAACCGCACAGAGGATTATTTAAGTGGACTTAGGAAGGACATCTTCTCTCCATGAGATTTAGTAAATAAGACCCTTATAACAATAAGATCCCTACCTCTTTACAGGTAGAGGTAAGAGACCCAATAAACCAAGTTGAACAAGCAGAAGGCCGTGGGGAAGAAGATCCGCGCATATGAGTCCATTTTGGCAATACGGATATGTATCCTCCCGTGTCTCCAAGCTCCTGTTCGGCAATCTTCAAAACAGCAGAAAAAGCTGGCACAGTCCTTGCCGTCCAGACACTCGTACCCATATTCTTCATCTCTCTCTTGAAGGTGCGTGGCATTGTTCATTTGAATGGTTGCTGATCTTGGGCGAATATCAATAGTAGGGGCCTGAGACAAGGGGAGGGACAAAGAGGGATCAGAGTTAATTCCACTTGATAAATCTTGGGCTATTTCTCCACAATGTTACCAATGTGAATGATGAATCTGAAAATGAGTACTCGGGAAATTGCTATGACATCGTGATCTACAATGGTGAAATTGAACTCAGAAGGATAGCACATTTGCAGATTTTGAATTTTGAGTTTAAGCAGTGCAGCTGAAAATAATACTATCAAGCTAATAGCTAGAGCAAGGAGATTAACACCAAAAGAACGCAAAGTTTAAAGATTTAAAATCAAACAACTATATGGAATCTTATTCTAGTAAATATTAGATGCGAGCTGGGTTACATGAAGGCATTTAATGGTTTTGCATGTGAGTGGTTTTTTGGTATAAAAAAATGTATCAATTTTGAAATCAAATTTTGTGTCATGCTTACCTATCAGCAAATAGTAAACCCCATTCGACTGGGCAAATTTTTAGATGCTTTTAATATAAAATGTTAAAAATATGTATAATATAGAAGTTTCCTGAGTTTATACCATAAGAGTATGGCTTATGTTTTAGAAGAATATGGTACTTTGTGTAATATTCACCATCTAGAACGTCAGCAAGGTTTACCTACTTGTGAGTGAGATTCAGAAAAATATGCTACTGCCTGTCAAACATTACTTAGCATTTGAGAAGAAGTTAGTACTAATCAACTGAATGCTAATCTAACTTTTGCTTTGGGATGAATTATAAAATTGCTTTAAGACTCAGTGGTCTATTTGATGTTAATTTGGATGATTTAGTTTTACTATAATATAAATACAAATCCCAGTGTCTCCGAATCAGCTGTCAGAATTCAACTGGGAATACTAATACTATATAATAAAGAGGTTAGGGGAGACTAGGCTCATGGGGGGCGGGGTGCATTTGGGGATGACCAGGCCGGTAGGGGGGCAGTTAGGGGAAATTAGGTTGGCAGGAGGGGGGAGCAGTTAGGGGTGACCAGTCCAACATTTGGGGGCAGTTGGGGGTGACCAGGCCAGCAGAGGGGGCACTAAGGGACGACCAGGCAGGCAGGCAGGTGAGCGATTAGGAGCCAACAGTCCAGGATTGTGAGAGGGATGTCCGACTGCTGATTTAGGCCTGATCCCTGGGATTGGACCTAAACCGGCAGTCGGACATCCCCTGAGGGGTCCTAAATTGGAGAGGGTGCAGGCTGGGCTGAGCGGATTCTCCCCCCCCAACACACACACCCCCTGCATGAATTTCGTGCACCGGGCCTCTAGTCTTATAATGTTGCAAGACAGAGCCAAAAGGCTCCTGGATCACCCTAGAAGGAAGGGGTGGGTGTTTTAACTAAAGCATTTTAAAGAGAGTATTATTTTTACAGAACTGACAGGTAAAGCTTAGGCCACAGGAGATTATTTTTTGCATTAGGATTTATAGAACTAAAATTTAAGGGCACATAGGTTATATGTGGTATATGGCAGATGCAGGCAGTGACATTGGATTTCATTTTCATCTGCAAAGAAAGGGTAAGTTTTGGCTTTGATGTTTAAAGAAGCCTTCTTTACTAATGACATCTCTTGGTGCTTATAGCTTTTTAGCTTCATGTAAGGTCAAAACCTCTGTGAATTAGCATAGGGTTGCTGAATCAACTCTAGAAAAAAACAGAACTTTCTCATTTGAAATGTTTTATCTTTAGTAGAATGCTTAAATGTCTATTCATAAAAAACAAACAAACACCATGTAAGCGTTAATACTTAAATTCAGCCGTTGCATGCAGTGAATTTCCATTCCAAAAACATTATACCTTGAAGGAAAACATCCGAAGAAGCTTTGGGTTTGTAGACAGAAAAGAGAATGCATTTCATTTCATTAAAAGAAGAGGAAGAAAAAGAAAAGAAAAAAGAGACAAAATAAGATAAATTAAAAATGCATTTTGAAAACATAGTAGGTGAAATAAACTAAAATTATAAACACAGAAGGACAATTTTGAACATGGAACAAAGTATATGCCTAATATTGAAAGAGAGAATTTGGTGACTGCTAGTGAAATCTTCCATAAATTAACCCACAATTATCTAACTACAAAAGCCAGGGTTGTTCATTTGTGAGGAATCTTTCTATTATTTTATTTTCTAATTATCACTAAGAAGGTCTTAGTAAGTGAATCCCGACATAATGAATCAAAGCACATATTAAATGGGCAAATTAAATTCAGCCTCTCTTTCATTCCTGAGGTTCTTGCCTGTTCTGATAAAGCATGTAATTGACTAAAAGGGGGAAAATGCATGAAATTCTCAGGTAACTTCATTTTCTCAGTTTCTTTCATCTTCTTTATCTTCTACCTTGTTTTCTTCTGTCATCTTCATGACCCTGGATTAAGGAATCCACATGTTTCTATTTCTGAAACAAAATGCACTCTGCAATGACCTACCTGTTAGAGAGGGGCAAAGGGCTTTTTCCCAAGGACTCAGAAAAAGAGAGAGAGGGAAGGAGGAAGGGAAGGAAGGAGAGAGAGAGAGATAGAGAGAGAGAGAGAGACTCTTCAGATTTGTTTGAAAGCCAGTCTTCTTGTGCCTTGTAATTGCTGGCAGGTAATAATGCTAAGTATCAGTAGAACCATCTTCTTGCAGGGGGAGGGGAAGGATGAGATGGAAAGTGAAGGAGAGGGAGAAAACAAAAACACAATTAGGAAATGAAAATAAGGAGAAAGAAGATCTGAAGGCAAAGAGAGGCAGGACAGACAGGGAAGAGAAGGACTGCATAAAACATAATGAGTATTTGGGGAATTAGAGACAAGCATTTATTTTTTTATTAATCATAAAAAATGATGCTTCTTTCTTTACCTGTTATAAATTCTTACATTCAAATAAACATTTACCATGTAGAGAATTTCACTGGTGTTCTTGGGGATGCATCCAGATACAACCTAGAATCAGCCAGACTTCCTCACTATAGTTTAGTCTCCCAAAGCCCACAGGTCAGTTAGCCACTATCACATCTCTCAAGGCCTTTAGAACAGAAGATCAGGAAAGGCTATTCAATGGGGTGAATTCCTTGGCCCCTGCCTTGGAAGGGAATGGACTTTAACTTCCATGGGGCCTCCTATGAGCCAGATATTGTGTTTAGGTGGGTAAATGGGTAGCTATATGCTCTTTTCAACATTAATAATAAAAGACAATTGCTTTTGGCATTCAAGCTTGTGCGTCATCATTTCTATTTAAAGTTTGGTGACAAGGTGAAGCCATTCTCTCTGTTTCCAAATCACTGAAATCAATCCAGGTTAGTACTTATATAATTATCCACATCAACCATCATTGTCAACTAGTAAACGATAAGAACTTTAATGTGTAAGGTACTATGTAATGCTTTTTACCTCTGTTACCACATTTATTTCTCACAGCAGCCCTATAACATATTTTATAATATTCTGTTATATATGACAATATAAAAACATAGGAAGGCTAAATAACTTGTCCAAATAACAGATGAGACATTTCTTTTAAAATAAGAAGATACACAGAGTATGAAACTAATAGAAGTCCTCTGGTGGCAACACACACACACACACACACACACACACACACAGACAGACAGTTGCAAAAGTGTAGACTCCAATTTGAAATTTAAAGATTCTTATGGCTTCTTGGTAGAAAGCTTTGGAGAGAAAATTTTAATTTAAAATATCAGTAATTTTAAAATATTATAGTAAGGGGCAGAAAGATGAAAATCAATGAAAGCTGGAATAATAGCACTGAGAAGAGAGATGCATCTCTCAGCAACGGTTATAGTCCCCATGAAATGAAGAGAGCAAGAGTCTGCCTTAGTGAATCAGGTCTCTCTTAACTAATAACCATAATGAATCCTTATGTCCTGGTCAAAGTCACACATACAGTTGTCACCTTGGAGCCCAAAGTGTTGAGGCATAACCTGCAGATAGACTAAATGAGACAAAACCAAAACCAAACCAGGCGGTCTTTTTGCATAAAAATTTCAGTGGTCCCAGTGGGAAATGATACATACAGGGTTTTTCTTCTTTTTGTCTTTGTCCTTGCTTGGTTTCCGATTGCTGACAAAATAATGTAGGGTGCCATACTCCACCAAAGCAGAGAAGACAAATATGAAGCAGACAGATACAAAGAGATCCATTGCTGTGACATAGGAGACCTTGGGCAGTGACTTCCGGGCGATGGTGCTGAGGGTTGTCATTGTCAGGACAGTTGTGATACCTGAAGAGAGGGACAGTAGAAAAGGTCACGTGACCACATCAGCGAGTTGGGTGACTCAGCCACGATGGAAGCTAAACCTGTTTTGTGGCTTCTAATAAGCAACCTCAGTAACGAGAAAGAAAGTACAATTAGAGTCATAGACTATGTCCACAAATATTGGTTGCCTCTTAAATGCCATTTAACCTTGCGGCATCTCTGCTTCCTCAGCTCTAAAAACTGTGACAATTTTGTAATCATTACAATGACTTTTACATGCTTTAGTTGTGAAGAGTAGGACAGGCACAGGGACCATATTGAATATGCCTGATTTGTCCTCAATGATCAACTTGTAGTCAATGATCTGCTTTGTGCTCAGGGGTCTCTCCCTCATTCCTTAGCTCACCTTGCTCCCTTCTCCCACCATGGTCTTTTGCTGGTGAGCACTCATTTAATGAGTGGTTAAATGAGCTAACAGAGTGGCCATAAGAGGGATTTTGATCACCAGAAGTGTGGACTTCAAGAGAGGAAATTGATTTGAAATCTTTTCCTTGAAATATTTATGGGATGGATAGATTGGAATGCAACAATCTATTTGTTCCATCCTATATAATAAAAGGGTAATATGCAAATAGACCAGTGATGGCGAACCTATGACATGCGTGTCAGAGGTGACACACGAACTCATTTTTTTGGTTGATATTTCTTTGTTAAATGGCATTTAAATATATAAAATAAATATCAAAAATATAAGTCTTTGTTTTCCTATGGTTGCAAATATCAAAAAATTTCTATATGTGACATGGCACCAGAGTTAAGTTAGGGTTTTTAAAAATGCTGACACATTGAGCTCAAAAGGTTCACCATCACTGAAATAGACCAAATTGCAGAACAACTGAACAACCAATCAAAGTGTAATATGCTAATGATATGCTAAGACTGCTCAACCACTCCCTATGACATACACTGACCACCAGGGAGCAGATGCTCTGACCAGTAGGTTAGCTTGCTGCCGGGGTCCGGCTGATAGGAACTGAGCGAGATGGGCCGGACATGCCCTGAAGCCCTCCTGTGGTCCCTCCCTGGCCTGATCATGCACCAGTGGGGTCCCTCAGCCTGGCCTGCACCCTCTCACAATACGGGACTGCTCAGGGGATTTCGGAGAGCCAATTTCAGCCTGATTCAGCAGGCCACTCCCCTTGGGAGGGCACCAGAAACAGCGCAAGCCTCTCCCGATCAGGACTGATTGGGTACAAGCCAGTGGTAGGCACAGTAGGACCAGGATGAGCGGGAGCAACAGGTAGGAGCTGCAGGCGGCGTTGGACTGCAGGTTTCGGCCCAATCCCTGCAGGCCTCCCAGAGGGACCCCACCCATGCATGAATTCATGCACCAGGCCTCTAGTTTATTCATAAGTGTACATATATTACTCAAATAGTCATTGTGCTACCAGCTATGTGCCACACACTATACTGGGAATAAAAGATATTTGCATGCTGATGTGAGAGACAGACATAGTATGTTATACAACACATTCTACTCATAGTGACAGTTAATCATCCTAAAGTAATAGGCTCACACTATTTTGGGTTTGTTTTAGCATGTAGCATTAGACACTGTAATGTTGAATAGTACTTATAACATAAAGTACCACATATAACGGGAAAAATCAAAATAACTTTATTTTGAAACAGTTGGGAGACTAAATAAGATTTGGCAGAGCACAAATATGCAAATGATATATTTTTAAAAAATTTCCCCAGTAATCACTCTGCCCTCAGGTTTAGTAGCCTGGGACAGATCATTTCTTCAGAAAATGATCACAGTTGCCAACATTCCTAGGTCTTACTATGGTTTGTATTCTTTGCATGGAATAACTTATTTAACCTAATAAAACGCCATAAGTTAGGTAAAGGAAATGATACATGTTTTATATGTGAGGAAACTGTAATGAATAGAGATTAAAGGATATTTCCAAGTCCATACTATAATTGTGAGTTACAATTCAGATTGGTTAGATTTCAAAGCTCCAGCTCTTAACTATTGCATGATACTGCTTCCCTAGAAAAGCCTGAGAAAGAGATGTGGTTCTAATTTTCTCCTAGCTGATGAAAGGGATTATGGTTTAATAATTCATCTTTCAATAGCTTTATTCTTAGTTAAGTCTTTAGGGAATTTTACGTAGTATAAAATTTTTATTCATGGACCTAGACTCCAATGTCCCTATGATTCTGTGGCTTTCTTATAATCTCTGTACACCTTCTTTCTCATGTGAGAAAAAAATGTGTGAAAACCTGAGACAAATATCACCATTATACAATAGATTGAGCAACTGTAAATAATCTTGAAAGTGGGGAGATGGATTCTCAAAATTTCACAGGTAATTGTGTCCTCCCAAAAATAATCTTCCTAGTGGCTTGTAAGTAGCCAATTAACATGTATGTATGTCCTCTAATGTCATCATGATTATGCATGTTGGAATTAATTAACAGCCTATGGTGTTCTGGTAAAGGTGTAACAGATTACTCTAGAAAAAATGAATGCCTTGATTTTTAGTGTTTGCCTATTTCGATGGTATTATTACTTTCACCTAGGCTGATGTCAAGCTGCCAGTGTGACATCGCTAGACACACTATTGGAAAAGGACAAATGATCAGCTCTCATGAGCTGGTGTGAGTAGCTCCAGCATACAGAACTGCCCAGAGACCAACACAAAAAGTCTGTTGAAATTAGAAGGGTTTTTTTTAAGCTAACTTAAATTTATTAAGATAATTTACTGGGAAAAAAAGCATATTAAGTGTGTTAAGAAAAACAGAATTAGGAAACTTTAAACATTGTTTTTCCTTTTTAATATACTAGTTTTCTTTAAAATGAAACAAAGAGCATTTCTATGTAATTGCTGACTGGATTAAAAGCAAATCAATTTGGAAAGGGGAATAAAGATTACTCGTTTGGAGTACTACTTACCTTGGATAAGTGCTATAACACCAAGAACTGTGTCTTACCTAGAGAAGTTCTGGCTGGCACAGCATCCTTATTGATCCAGAAAGACACCCAGGATAGAACAACAATGAGTGTGCAGGGGATGTAGGTCTGGATGGTGAAGTATCCCATTCTTCTGCTCAGGTCAAAGTAGACACACATGACCACATAATCTCCTGGGGACAGACCATGCAACCCCTTATCAAAAACTGAAAAGCATTTAAAAATGAGCATATATTCAAATCTCTCACATTTAAAATGAGAGCTCCATACAAGGGTATGTTGAAAACCATCTTCTACCGACATGGGTTAAAATAAAAAAATAAAAAATAAAATTTTTTTTTTAAAAAAGCAAAATCCAAATGAAACTGAAGTCTGATCCTTCTAGAAGCAATGTGACTACTAAAAAGAAGGAAGCGTTTTTGAGCATATTCATCATATTTTCTTCTTTCGGGTGATTTTTGATGGCGCCTTTTCTGCCTACTTAACACACATAATATGCACCAAGTTTTTGTTTGTTTGTTTGTTTGTTTGTTTGTTGGGGAGAGAGGAACAGAGCTTTTATACTGTGTCTCACTTGCCTAAAATGAATCCTAAGATTTGTAACAATTTTCTCTTTTTCTCAGGACCTGTCTTCATACAAACCAGAGGGTAATATGCTGGTGCTTAAAACTAGTAAATTACTAGTTTACAATGAAATTCCTATGCTGAGACATTTTTTCTCATATTTTCATTGAATAATATGGTTTTGCTTCATAGCAGTTACTTCAGTTGGCAATTTCTCATTTATTTGTGTGGTTGTTTTTGTAATGCTTGTCTCCACTATTAGACTTTATCTGCATGAGTCCAAAAAGTGCCTATTTTAGCCCATCATTACACTACTAGTAATTAGCATCCTGCTTGATTCTAACTAGGTATTTCATAACATTTGTTGAATAAATGATCAAATAATTGAACACACTTAAAAATGTAAGCATAAAGCAAAAAACAAAATATCAAAAGGCTGTGTTTTTGAACATTTGGGTTTAAAAAAAGGAGTTTATGTAAATAATCCAGAATAGAGTCATAAAGGAATCAAGGAATAACCATATAGCTATACATGAGAACAACTTAAGGGACACAGTTTGAGGTCTCTGATTTTCTACAATCAAGAGTCATGCATTGCTTTTAAAAGTCCATGCCCTTCATTTTGCATGGCTCAAAATGAAACTGTAAGGAATTTTGATTTTTAAGTTTAGAAAATGTACTATGGGGATATATCCTAGTTATCACAGATTTGTGTTTTCTTTATATTCTTAGAGAACATCAGTTTTAAAGACTATATCTGCTCTTGCAATGGGAGATGAACACATAAGAGACTGATTTTCAAATATTGCTTCTTTTCTCTTTACCAAATTATAATTTGTCCTAAAATGCAGGGAGAATGAAATCCAAATTATGTGTTTCATTTTAATTATTTGGCTTCATGCCCACGTTTCCCTACTTACTTGGCTGATTTAGATCTGACTTGAAAATAAGGTACTGTAGAAGCCCCATGCAGACAAGACTGATTTAGCAGGATGAGCTATTACTGCTCAGCCCAGTTCCTCCTCCCACTCTCAACCTTAACGCCACACCCTCCCAAGCTGCTAGGACAAAAAGCCCTCCTTGGCTCCTTGTCAAGGAAGTAAAGACTCTCCCTTTCGAAGTGGAGTTATGAGTAGCTGCTAACCCTGCCTTTGGTGGATTAATGTACTATTACTTGTCTGAGTCAGGCCTGGTGAAGGCAGTGACAATGACCTGGACACTGGGGAATTTGGCTCCCATTGGAACATCAGTTTCCTCTCATAGATCAATAAGTAGCAATTATTTAGTGATTACCTCTTAAAACTTGAAAATACAAATTTATTTTATCATTCTTTTTAAATCCTCACCTGAGGATATTTTTCCATTGATTTTTTTAGAGAGAGAGTGGAAGGGGGTGGGGGGGAGAGATAGAGAGAGAAACATGGATGTGAGAGAGACACATCTACTGGTTGCCTCCTGCATGTACCCCAGCCAGGGCCAGAGATCAAGCCTGCAACCAAGGAATGTGCCCTTTACTGGAATTGAACCTGACAACTTCAGCCCACAGGCTGAAGCTCTATCCACTGAGCCAAACCAGGTAGGGCAAAGGTACAAATTTCTTATTTAGAATATAATATATATTATATTCTAAATGTATATTTCTCTGTTTCTTTTATCTGAATACCAGAGGCAAATGCAAGATGGAAAAAAAAAATAGGTTTCTTTTAAAATAACAATATTCAGGAGATACTTTTTCTCCCTTTGAGAAAGAGTATTTTCCAAGTCCTTGAGAGTTTTTTCTGCATATTTTAAATGTGTTAAATGACACTTTACAAGTTATTCTATTTTAAATATATCTGGACAATTTTAGTAACTTCTTTTTACTCCTTATCATGAAAGAGAATCTACACTTTGGCATTAATGTTCTGACTCTCTGAAAGGTGAACTTTAATTTTTCCTCAAATAACGAGATAATTATCTCAATTCAATTCTCCTCTTCCCTTTAGGCCAGCTTCTAAACTTCCATAGCTTTTTAATCCATCGATTTCTATTTTAAGATAATAGTTTCTGAGCATCTTTCATCTTTACCAGCAAATCCAAAGCTTTTTTTACCACTAGAGTACAGATTCAAATTTGGGAACAGGCCTTTTAAAAAGAAAGCAGCTTCCCAGTGATAGCCTGATGCCTGTCTTATCTCTAAGGCCTTATCACTTTTTGTATTTTAAAAAACTCTTGGGCCCAGGAGCCTATGAGATCAAATCCCCTGAGGGTGCCGCATTAGTGATTCACCAAGTCAAAGGGTTCAGTGTCAACCCAGTAGAAGGTGACAGTTTCAGCCACTACAAATTTATTCTTTCTATTGAATTATTCTAACATAAATATTTAAAGTCATAGCATATTATAAATTAGTGTGTTCCCAGCTTTTGTCCCAAGTTAGGTCATAATGTGCAAGTTATGATTGAAGAGAGAAGCCATAGAATTTGAAAAACATCCGTTAATGTCTATTCTTTATTTTTTTGTAAGCTTGTTATATCTAGTCTCAGGAAGAGACAGTCAACATCAGTGAACAGTGAACTCCAGTTATTATTTCTTTGGAGTGAAATAAACCATATGAAAGTTTTAAAATTCAAATTTACTAGAGCATTTAGGCTCTATTTCATACATGAAACTATCTCTTAAAAACTTGAAGATTCCACCCTAGCCTGTTTGGCTCAGTGGATAGAACATTGTCCTGCAAACTGAAAGGTCCCAGGTTTGATTCCAGTCAAGGGCACATGCCTGGGTGGTGGGCTTGATCCCCAGTGGGGGACTTGCAGGAGGCAGCCAATCCATGATTCTCTCTCATGGATGTTTCTATCTCTCTCTCCCTCCCTCTTCTTCCTCTCTGAAATCAATAAAAACATATTTAATATAAAATAAAATCATTATACTTTCAGAATGTGAAGAGTGGGGCTGCCTCAGTGGTGTAACTCTCAGCCTTTTTTTGCAGGTGGCCTGCAGATGTGTTCCTGACAATATGGGAATAAATTGAGCATGCCGATGACATAATGTCAAGTTGCATTGCTGCCTCAACTTTGACCAACCCAGCAGACCTATTCAGTGCTGCAGATTCTTAGAAGTTATATATATATATATATGCTTTGAAGCACCATCCCCTGGAAAAACAGATGTTTTCTCTGTAGTTACTAAGGAAAATTAGCTAAATTAAGGCAACCATGTCACTTTAGTGACATAATGCCCTCCTCCATCTTCAAATCCTCATTTGAAGCTAGGTCTGGGATTAGTACCTTGAATCCTTTGGCATTGTCTTTTCATTTTTCCATGGTTTTTAACTCTGGCTGAACAAGGGTCAAGATCCAGAATACAAGGGAGTTACTACAGGAAAATACCTCCAAGAAAGTGAATTATTTAAGCACAACAATTGCAAACCTAAGTTTAATAAGTAACAACAGACATGACCTAGAAATCCACAACCAAAATTGTTGAAGAGACCATAATCACCAGCTTTCTTCTTCATTTATCCAACTTTTCCTCTTTTGCAAGAAAATAAACAGATTAGTACATATTATGCCCCAAATTATTCCTTCACACTATTATCTTCATTATCATATATCTCCATCTACTAATATTCTCAATATATTTCTGGTATTCCAATTGTTAAGATGTTTATTGTGTATAGTTCCCAAGCATATCACCAGCTTTCATAGAAAGTAGAGACACCAGGTTTCTCTCACCATCCATTTTACTTAAGAAAGTAAAACAATTTTGAGTGCCATGCATGTCACCACCACCATCCCAGCTGTGTCTCACATCACTTATGACCTTCCCATTTTATGACCATCCAACCAGATTTACTTCCTGCTGTCCCAAGGGGACCGGCTCATTCCTTTGTCCATCATGGTACCTTGAATTTCTACTCTACTCTGTGCTCCTCTAATCATGTCATACACATATGCACACCTTTAAACCATCCCATAATTGCCAGTTGATGTCAGTACACACTAAAATTCTTTAACTTGTCCTGTAACTCTCTGTATGGTCATTTCCCTGACCACATCTCCAGCCTAATCTTAAATAGTATTTCTTCACACTCCATCTGGAGTCTCCTGTTTCCTCCAATGCCCCCTGCTGCCTCTTGCTTTAGAGTCTTTTCACAGGATGATTCCCTTGGTGCAGACTCTAATACCTCCATCTTAACTGACTCTCTTCTTTCTCAGGTGTCAATTAATTTATCTCAACATTAGCAATCCTTATTAGATCAGATGTCCTTAGTAAGATCTCACAGCACCATGTATGACCACAGTAGAGCTGATTGTACCTGAAGGTATATGACTGGTGTGCATGTTGGAATATGCTCTAGTTTATAATTAGTCCATGAGCTCCATGAGCAAAGTAGCTGTATCTACTTTGCTCACTGATTTTACTCTCAGCATCTAGTACAGTGCCTGATATATAGAAGGAATTCAACAACTATTTATTGAACTAAAGGCCCTGTACACAAATTCATGCACAGGTAGGGTCCCTCAGCCTGGCTGACAATCAGGGCTGATCTGGGCCATCTCGCCCAGTCCTGATCCGGGCCGATCTGAGCTGGCCAGCTCTGGGAGGGACAATGGGAGGTTGGCTGTGG